CACTGCACAAATTAACCAACAACCACTGTTCCCAGGGATGTGTTGGCAGCTCTGTTGAAATCATCAATAGTGCTGCTGAGCAAGAGAGGAAGTTACCAACAAAAAAGTATGTTCAGTTCAGCTCGACTGAAAGTGTAAAGGAAGGGAAAACTACTACAAACTTTAAAAAGACTTTCTGAGATGATAAACTGTATTTTATTAGGTTATCTCATATAAAGACATGAAAGTACCAACAAGTTATAATTATAAAAAAATACTAAAATTAATACATTATGAATTAAGTAAGTAGAAACTTATTTTTATAAATTACTATAAAATAATGTTACTTTCCTTCATTGGATTTTATGGAAACAAACCACAGAAAGATAAAATAGCCAATATTCTGTCCTATAAAATGAATATTGTTTTAAATCTTTTCCTACCTGTTTGATTAAATTTGAGTGACTAGAAGAATAACTGATTTTCTAAAATTCATAAAAACCAAGAGACTTATTTTCATTAGTGCATTTTCCTATAATGTCCTTATACATTAAAGTCTTAGAAATATTTTATGAGCTTAAAATATATTACTTGGATGCAGCTAAGCAGCCTGTTACAAGCATTGCAAGATACTATTCAATGTTGGGATATAAACTATGGCATGTAACTATCAGAGAAATAAAATTTACAGATACTATTACAAATAGTGTCATAATACAGATATAATAGTTCATAGACACAATAGTGCTTAAAAACTGTTTTCTCGTGTTTTAAATGTTAATCTAACATGCAAATATCTGAAAATATCTGAAGTTATGATATCTTATTTCCAGAAGCCCCTAGATTTGATTCTATACTTGACTCTTCTATGGGTATTCTCCAGCCCGTCTCTGGGAGCCAGAGTATATACATCTCCATGGCTTATTTTTCTTTTGCTCAATTCCTGCTTTTCAGAAAATAGTTTAGAAGACTCTGAAAGAAGCCATGCTGGGCTCCTTGTGCTGGCTTTGTCCTATTGTAGGCCTTGAGATTTTGTTGACAAAAGTTTTATCTCAGCTACTGTTTCTTGCTTCTTTTCTTTTTTCTTAGGAGAAAACCAATCTATTGATACAATAACTAACTAAGGATTTTTAACGTCAAACAAAGCCATTCCATATCTTTTGCAAGTGCTGCGCCTGACTTTAACTACAGGGATAGCACCAATTACCTTGTTGAACCTGCTTACATAAGTACGTCTTGAATCTGCAGGTGTTTACACAAGTAGAATAGAGATAATGCTTCTTTTCACTTAGATTTTAGAAGCAATGAACTTTGGATCAGACAGATAACATGAAATAGCCAACATCAAACATGAAGTCTGTGCAGGCAAGTGTTGAATAGGGTCTCCTGAGATCTGGAGAGAGGCAGAGAATTATGTTTTCTTAAAGGTGTGACTTTGATAGTCTTGAAACAACTTGTGAACTTGCTAAGTAATTTTGGTGATGGACAATAAAATTCTTGGTCAGCAGAATGAAGTCGTGATCTTGCTTTTAGCCAGCAGCCTGTGGTTAAAGCATTCACAGAAGTGTGTTGAATTACCAGTCTTAATCCCTTGTTTTGCTTGAGAGGATTTATACCCGTGCTTTTAACTCTCAAGAGATTTCTCTGGCTGCCACAGAATAAGAGGAGAGAGATGTGCAGTGCTTAATTTCTCCTTCTGGTGCCATTCTACTTTGTGTAATTAATTAAGCATTCACTGAGGCAAGGACCAGAACACAGCTGACCCATCGTTTAAATACTGCCCTAATTACCAGGCTAAAGAGTCTCTCCCTTGCCCCGCCCTGCAGCCCCCTTTTTTCCTGCTCATCTGTCTCAAATGCTGTCTGATCTGGAACGTTTACAGGAAAAAATAAAAAAGTGCTACAGAATAGCCTTATCACATGGCTGGGTATCTGAATAGAGCAATACTGGGCTTCAAATTTTTCATGGCCAGTATCAAGTGAGATTGCAGTTTCTTTGCATGAAAACAAGGTAACACGAAAGACATCGGGTCTGACTCTCACCTTTTTCCTGTGTCAAATCCCATTGAAATCTTAAAGCTAACTGGATTGTTAAGTGGTGTACTAACAGCCCCATCACAAAATAGTTTTGTGAGGACTGAGTTTTGATAGGCGTATTTGATGAATCAAAAATCCATAACGCTGGTAGTATTTGTAACGTTGGTAACATTGAACTTCACCTTCTTACCTTCCAGTAAGTTGCTTTAGAATTCTTATTTTGCAATCAACACCCACCATTAGACACCAGTACTAATTTTCCTTTTCACTCAAAAACTGTTATAAATGGTAGATAATGACTTGATGGAAATGAATAAAATGGCTGAATGCTTAGCCACCTGAGGAGTTGCATGGAAGTCAAGGATGTAAAGATCCAGATCAAAAAAAACCCCTTACGTGCTTGAAGTGAAACTTAAGCAAAATTTAAATCTCAGCGTCCACAGTTGAGAATCCTGAAAATCACTGTTCACCTGTCACTGAAGTATCAGCTACGCTTTATGTATAGATCAGTGTATAGCTTGAATGTATTTAAGAAAAAGAACTTTAGAGTTCAGTGAACAGTTTTGTCTGTACATCATCATGTGCTATTCAGTGTGAAAATACAACTACAGAAAAAAAGGTAACTTCTTTCTTAGCATATATGTTCTCTGTCCAAATTCACTCTCTTTGTCCTTGAAAAGAAACAGTGATAATATAGAATCATAGAATGGTTAGAGTTGGAAGGGACCTCAAAGATCATCTAGTTCCAACTCCCCTGCCATGGGCAGCGACACCCTCCAGTACACCAGGTTGCCCAAAGCCTCATCCAACCTGGCCTTGAACACTTCCAGGGATGGGGCATGTACGCCTTCTCTGGGCATCCTGTTCCAGTGCCTCACCACCCTCTGAGTGAAAAATTTCTTTCTTATATCCAATCGAAACCTCCCCTCTTTTAGTTTAAATCCATTGCTCCTTGTCCTATCACTACACACCCTTGTAAAAAGTCCCTCCCCAGCTTTCCTGTAGGCCCCCTTTAAGTACTGGAAGGCTGCTATAAGATCACCCCGGAGCCTTCTCTTTTCAGGCTGAACAGCCCCAACTCTCTCAGCCTGTCTTCATAGCAGAGGTGCTCCAGCCCTCGGATCATCTTTGTGGCCCTCCTCTGGACCCGCTCCAGCAGCTCCATGTCCTTCTTGTGCTGGGGACTCCAGAGCTGAACGCAGTATTCCAGGTGGGGTCTCACTAGAGCAAATATACTAGAAGTGTGCTGGTTTTATCCCTAAACAGGAAACATGAGGGTGCTGCATAATGGATGCTGTTACAGCTTCTGCAGTCAGTATAACTTACGCAATTAAAGTCAGGATACGCACGTGCATGCGGCTCTGCTCTCTGAAGGCTGTGCACTGAGCTGCCTACAGTGGTTAAAGCATCCGTTAGGGTATGGGCAGCCTCTGCTTAAGAATTTAATTTGAGGATAATGTGGTTGCTAGCAAATGCAAACTTTTCCAGAAGTTTGTTTATTGCTAATGGTACATATGAGTCATGAAGAACACCAAGTGACTTTTGGCATCGCTGAGAGAGTTTGCAGGCTAATAACTGGAAACGCTCTTCTCGCTTGCAAACCGAAATAATGGAAATTATTTTGACGGCCTGAAAGTAAATGTCATTTTTACAAAGATGCTTTCGGAAGAGAGACACATCCTGAGAATGACTCAACGAAGGTTGTATCATGCAGATGGCAGAAGCAGTGACAAGTTCTCCAGAGCTGAGACTTCTCATTATTGTCACTGCTGCTGTTATTTTGAAGGATGAAATTTGGTCCCCCTTTACCTAAGCAGATAACAATAGGTGCACTTGTTATTGGGAATGTGTTTACCTTGGTCTCACAAATCAAAATTTAAGTGATTACTGAGTTGAAACCAGTAGACAACTTTTTTGCAGCTTACACAGGAAGAAAGCTTTAAAGTGGGGAAATGGGGCCTTTTTGACGTATTTTGTCCCACTGTAAAACCGGATACTTTAACAGATTTTGATGTTATTACTAAAGCATAATGGATAGAAATACGATCTTTGAGACTTTATGTTCAATGAGTGTTTACAATAGAAATAAACTAATATAAGTATTGAAATGATTACTGACATACTTAGTATGTCAAAATGTACGTATAAAAGACAAATACAAATATTTAAAGAAGCCCATGTTGCTAGCTATTAAAATTGGAGAGAAATAATCTGCTAACCCTTGTTGCAAAGAGAAAGCAAGTGAGAGTGACCAGAGCAGTAAGTGGCAGCATGCAGTTTTTATCAGAAGGTCTCTGAATAATTCATTGTGCCATATGAACATGCATAATGTAATTTGGATCTACTAAATGCAGTCCATAGAAAACACTGTGGATTATAGTTGAGGGGGGAAAAAAAATAGAAGTGAAGATATGATGCAAAATTAAGTTTTAATTTGTTTTTTAAAAAAATTTCCTTCTTAAATGAAGCATCTAGTATCAGGAAGTCCATTCCATTAACATGCTCTTGGAGAGTTATCTGAGCTCGTTAGAACCTAAAGTAAAAACCTTGCAGACTACTTTTCACATGAAATATGATTCTGTCCTAGTTGGAAGTTGATTCGTCTTGAAACAGGTTGGCTGTGAGCTCTGAGTTGGGGAAAATTATTTCAGCCATGGCTTTCTGACTGCATTTCCTCTGGAAAGGAAAGCAGTTGTATCACAACAGCAATGTGAGATTCCTTGTTTATTAATTCATCCATATAAAATTTGTTCAGTTGACAAATGTACGAGTGTTTGGTTTTGGCTTTTTTCCACCCCTTAACATTGAATTACCCTTAAAAACTTATCCTGGAAGCTCGAGTTAAAACATGTAAATCTCCATGTAGCTTGAAGTAGCAGCTTGCAGAGGTTCGAGTGGTAGGCTCGGGACAGAGTGTTTTCAAAACTGTTTTAAAACAAAGATGACCCTTTTGTTGTGTATAACCTTTCTTCTTTTTTGTTGAAGATGGCACATGGAACACGGAACCCCAGAAGATAGTTAAACTGGGGGTTCTGCCTGTTAGAAGTCTGCTTGTGATGGAGGAGACCATTTGGGCTGCATGTGGTGGACAAATTTTTATCATCAGCACTGTGACACATTCAGTAGAGGTAAGCACTTGTAGAAGCACTGCTCACATACTATGCTACAAGGTCTAAGGGGTGAAATTTAAACAGAATCTGTTTAAGAAGCTTCAAGATTCAGGAAGCTTTTCATGAAATATGGTTTTAGTTCTGTTAAATCCCACTCCCCACAGTTTGAAATTTTGCTGTCGTGTTCTCTGCTATCTCATTAGACCTAGGTTTGCTTCCATTTTCCCCCAGGTTTCCATAAGGTGCTTGGAACTTGTAGGGTATTTGGGTGTCGTGGTTTTTGGACTGAGGGTCAAGACAAGAACTGAGAGGGAGCACCCACCAAGCATGGTCCCGGGCAAAACATGACTCAGGCTTTCTTCATAAACCAAAACAATTTATTAACAGTTATTAAACAAAAGACAAAAGGGAACGAAAACTGGTTACTTGAGAGGAG